TTAACTAAACCCGCAACGAACGGGGTGCGCGGTATGAAAAGGAGTGAAAAAAAAAAAAAAAAAAAAAAAAACCTTTTTTTTTTTTTTTTTTTTTTTTTTGCATTATTATAAAATTTAATAAAGAAGTGGTATAATGTAAAAAAAAACAAATATTATTATATAAAAGTATTTATAATACAAGATTTGGTATCTGGTGTCACCAAACCTAATTATTTTATTGAATATATTGTAATAATTTATAATAGAATAAATTATAATTTTTATTTATTTATTTATGTATAAAAGTACCCCAAAATAAAATTACTTTTTTGATTTCTAAAGTCAAATTTTTTTTTTTTTTGAAATCATTTTCGAATTCAAATAACAAATATTCGTCCTAAAAAGGCGAAGTGGAACCTACGATTTCAAGTAAAAAAAATAGAACGATTTGGGGTTTTTATGTCATCAAATTAGTACAAGATTTTTAACCGGTAATACCGTGGGTCTTTAGTTCCTATTTATAAGCAGACTTTTTTTTATGTAATACTACGAAAGACATCCAAAAAAAAAATTTTATTTTCAAAGTAAATATTCAAGTGTAAGTGCTTACCCATGCAGCACGAATTTTCGTGATTAAAAAAAAATTTTTTAAAAAGGTATCTGAATCTAAAATGTTTTTTTTTTTCTTTTAACTCATTTATAAACCCACAATTTTTTATAACGAAAAAAAAAAAAAAAAAAAAAACAATTAAGATTTTCTATTCCCCATCAAGTATCTTTAACTTTTAAGTTAATATACCTTTACTCCTCACTCTTTCATCTACGATATCCATCTAAAAACTTTATCATACTTACGAAAAAAAAAAATTAAAATAAAAAATAAAAAAAAAAAACTCTCATCGGAAAACAACACATTCCAATACGTCGAATGTCTTCTGTAACAATGGCTTTTAATTCATTGTACACGCATACAAATTTGACACCCCCTCTAGTTCCTCTTTCGACAACATCCATTTATAGCAGGCCCACGACGGCATACGCTCCTTCTATCAACAACTCAAATTCCACGAGTCCTTATTATCACCAAATACAGCCCCCAGTTCTTGACCCGCAATCGCAAACCATGGCCCAACCACCCATACAGAAAGGAAATATGTCCGCTCCTTGGTTCGGTCAAAATTCAATGCTGCCTTCCTCTTTTAGTCCATATCAACCTTCAAATGGTTCAAGTAAGTCTGAATGAATTTGCTCCTCTTTTTATCAATCATCATCATCATTTTTATTTCCCATTTTCTTTTCATTATTCTTTTTTTTACAACTCAAAACATTGTTTGTGATATTGTGCTTTGACCACCTATCTTTTTATCCATATTTTTCCGTTATCAATACAATAAAAAAAAAAATCATTTAATGTACATCCATGTATGCACTCGTCACTTTTAATGTTGGTTTCATTTTCATTTTCATTTAATTGTCGAGTTGTTTTTTTTTTTTTTATTTTTTTTTTTATTTTTTTTTATTAACATATATATATGTATATATGTATATATTTTTATTTTATTTATTTATTATTCTTTTTTATTTTATTTTTTTTTTTTCTTTATTATTTTTATTTTTATTTTTTTTTGATTTTCATCTTAACAAAGAAATTTGATTTTGGAAAAAAAAACCATGATCATTTGTGCCGTTTCTCCGCTGCTTCCGCATCGAGCATGTACATCTTGCCCTAAAAGTTGTCGTTACCCGAGACTACAGATTTTTATAATGATAATGTTATCTCACTTTAATTTCCGTACTCGAATCAAAATCATTTCAATTATTTATATATAAAATTCGTTTTTTTTTTTTTTGATCTCCCTTTTTTTTTCTTATATAATCAATTCGTTTACAATTTTTTTTTTCCTCCAACGACCATCAAATATATATATTACATAAAAATATTTATATTTATATTTATATTTATTAAATTATTATTATTATTATTATTATCATCAACTCTTTTTTAAGAGGGGGGAAAAAAAGATAGTGAAAATTAATAATTAATAATAAATCCTTTCGTTTATTTTGGTTTCATTTTTATTATTCTTATTTTTTTTTTATCTCGTATTCATTTCATTTTTTTTTTTTTTTATTATTATTTCCTTAGACTGTTTTATACTCATCTTTTACCTTCTTTTTTTTTTATCTCTTATGTAAAATGGAATCAGTGCATAACAACATTGTTGGTCTTGAAGACAATAAACCAACACAGATCCAAAAGCAACCACTCTACTCTCAACATAACCTTTCCGGGCATCAAAGTCAGTCTTTAACAGGTGCTCCCACACTTCCACCGCCGCAGAATCAAGCGGTCTCAAATGTTCATGATATGTCGAATTCAGGGAGAGCAGCCACAAGGAGCTTGACCAATTCTAAACGTGCTGCACAAAATAGAGCCGCCCAACGCGCTTTTCGTCAACGTAAAGATAGATACATTAAAGATTTAGAAGCAAAAGCAAAAGAATTGGAAGCCACAAAGAAACAGGTGGAAACATTACAAAAAGAAAAGGCGGAAATGGCCGCGATCATCCGTACTTTGCGGAACGAGAATGCAAAGTTAAAGGGCGAGGAAGTCGTTGAAGATGATAATAGAAATAATGGAACAAATTCTGGTGCTAGCTCAAATTCTGGCTATCCTCATTATAATAATTCATCATCGCGAAACGATGATGATAATGCAGGTCTTGGTGATGAACCATGGCTTAGAAAGGATTCCGGTCGTAAAGAGGGTTTGTCATCGTCGTCCTTTTTCTTTTCCTCCTTTTTTTTTTTTTAAAAAAAAAAAAAAAAAAGAGGGGCCTGGACTTACCAAGTTTTCGTTTTTTTCGCATATACTTAGTCATGAATCGTCCTGGATCCAGTCTTACTGATAATTCACCCAGAGGATCCGGAATTGTCCTACCACCTGGTCCACACACAGATTCTACTGTTGAACCTTTTTTCAGACCTGATTATCGTCATCAAAATTCCAATAGTCCATCTCCACCATCATCAACTTCATCCGATCGTAACCGTGGTTCATATGGTGCTTCACAAAGCGCTAACGGAAGAGCTGGATACTCGAGCAATGACGAAGATACTGATCGAGTATACGACGACTTGTGTGAATTATTGAAAACGAGATCACGTCCGGCTTTACCGCAAAATATTGGTATGAATATTTGGCCACAACCATCACAGCAAATTAATCAAAATATTGTATCTACCGCTAATGGTAGTGGTACTGTTGTGGGGTGAATTTAAATTAGCGTATACGAACCAAAAAAAAAAAAATTTTTTTTCATTAGAAAAAAATTGATTCATTTTTAAGTTCAAATTATATCTTTTCTTTTTTATTTTTGGTAGGTTTTTTTTCTTATTTTATTTTTTTTTTTTTCCCCTTTTTTCTTTACGATTCATATCATAGGGAGGAGAGTAAGCTAATTGTTTTACGGATGCGACTTGGAAGAATTAATCAATCACGAACGAACCCAATATTTAATGAAAATCTTATCAATCAAAATTTTTTACTTCATTTTATTTTTCAATTCATTTTCTTTTTTTTTCTTCCATCCTTTTTCGGTAAAATTTTGTTTTAATATCATTATTACCCCCACATATGATTCTTTTTTTTTACCGAAGATTATTTATAACATAACCAATTCTCCTCTCCCGCCTGTGTGTTGTGTTTATGCTCTCAAATTTTTTCCGTTTTTTTTTTTAAAAAAAAAAATTACTTGCATTACGTCCTTACGATTTATACTTTTAAGTAACCCAAAATATGTCAATTATTTAAGTTTATTTTTTTTTACTTCGTTAAGTTCTTTCTTACCGTGATTTGGTATAGAAAAATTAAGATATTTCATTTCTCTAATCGTATTGTATTGTTTATAACTCTCTGCGCGTGTTAATAGTTCCGAGTTCATTTTTCACATTATATATATAATCATAGTTCATTACCATTCATTATTTCACCTGTTTCAAAAAAATTCAAGATTATTATTAAAAATTCAAAATTTCATGATAATACCCTCCCCTTCGTTTTTTTTTCTTCCTTTTTTTCCTTTGTAAAAATTGACAATTACTAAGCTTATTTTACTTTATTTTTTTTGAGTTTAATACAATATATATTTTTTACGAATATATATGTGTAATGTAAAAAAAATTTCAAAAAAAGAACGGATTATATTAAAAAAAAAAAAAAAAAAAAAAAAAAAAAAAATTCAAAGATAACCATTTACAATTCTCAAACCTTTTATTCTTTTTTTTTAAAAAAATTTTTCCCCTTCCTATTTTTTTATCTTTTTTTTAAAAATTAAGAAAAGGGTGAGAATGTTTTCATTATCTATTCTTTTCCTTCTACTTCTACTAATGTTCTCTTTTTTTTTTTTTTTTTTTTTTTTTTATCAATCACTATTTTTATCTTATCAAATGTTCTTTTTTTTTTTTGTAAATATATTTTTTGTTTTTTTTTTCTTTTTTTTTTTTTAAAAAAAAAAAAGGGAATGAAAAAAGATATTCTTTTTAGATAGAAAATTTCAGTGAAAAAAAAAATAAAAAGAAAAAAATTTCGAAAAATCGAAAAAAGTTAAGAACAAGTAAGAACATGAATGAAAGTACTTGATTTTTCCCATATATAAAAAGAGATATAGTTCTCAAGATGATGAAATAATTACCGGACTGTCCCAAAAAAAAAAACCTCACAAAAAATAAAAAAAAATGACGTTAAAAAAGACTAAACTAAGCTTAGTAAATGAATATATATATAAAAAAAAAGCCGGAAAAATAAAAGATTGGAAACCCAAGTTTTTCGAAAAAAAAAAAAAAAAAGATTATAAGTCATTGTTGTATATAACACAAAAAAAAAAGGGCCCACTAAAAAATTCGCGCGTTTTTTTCTTTTTGACCCTATGCAGAATAAAAAACCATTCATATTTGTAAATTTGTCTGTTCTTTACAATATGATCACATAAAAACCACGTAAATAAATTTCCTTACCTGTTCACAGTTGATGTGTCATCAACCTGTCAAAAAAAAAAAAAAAAAAAGAATGCATAAACATGTTAATTAGAAAGAAATTACCTAATGACCTACATTTAAAATAAAAGCAATCGCGCATGACATATTCATATTACCTAATGTCCTTTAACTATAAACAGAAAGATCTGTAATGTCAACAAGTTTTTTGATTTTTTTTCCGCACTTTGTGGGGTTCAATAATAAAATATATTATGCAGTCATTTTTTGTTAAAAAAATGCATTCAATTATGAATTGGCAATAAAGCTTTAAGAAAGAATAATTAAAGTGGTTGATAATCGCTAATAATCTTGATAAAGGTTGACAAATTCTATAGAAGTATGACGAAATATAAAAATGTAAATAGAAAAAAAAAGTGTAGTAACAACATAGAGACGTAAATTTCCTAAATGGTTTAAATAATATCGATCGGAAGTTATAAGTAGTTGTATATATTTGTTTTTTTTTAAAAAAAAAATTGATTGATTGATTGATTCAAATTAAATAACAAACTTACTTCTAAATATCGAAATGAAAAAAAAAGGTAACGCACGAGTAATGATTAAAATAAGAAAGAACGATGATGAATAGATGAATGATAAATCGCATCGCATCGATAATGTGTGTATCAAAGTGATAAATGTCGGATATCACGAAAAGAAAAAGATATAGTGGGGATGATTCGTTTTCAAGCTATGATTGACATAGAAAAGTCGTAGCCGAAGGCAAAAAAGGGGGAACAATTTTGAAGTATTAATATGTTTAATTTGAAATCATAAAGAAATAAAATAAAATAAAAGAAATGGAAAGGTAACAATAAAGAAAAATATAAATAGAATCATGACTAAGCAATTAAGCATTATCCGTAACTTCGAAAGAAATCTTTTTTTTTTAAAAGAAAGCAAGGCAAACGAATGTAAAATTCTAAGAAAAAGAAGATCAAGTTAGACTGAATGCATTATTATCTAAACAAACAAACCAAACAAATGATATTAGATCAACATTTATTAAGAAGATCGTATACCATATTAAATTATCAACATAAAAACAAATAAGGCTTAGAAGGTTTCTCTAACGCGCGAACGATAATTCTCCTCTTCTCTAACTTACGACAGTTATATTGCTTGCGAAAAAGGACGAAACCCCAATATTTTAGTGGTTAATGAGAGAATAAAATATGGTTTCGGTTAGAGAATTCTCTGGAGGTTTTTTTTTTTAAAAAAAAAAAAAAAAAAAAAAAATAGAAAAATGAAAAGTAAAAAAGGTAAAAAGCTAAATCTACACGAATAAATACCTTTGGAGAGGATAATAAATAATCTACAAAGAAAATTAACAATTTGGATGCATAAAATTATTTTTATTTTATCCGTACCAATTGTTCGTCATACATTGTGAAAAAAAAAAATTTTTTTTCAAACACGTTGATCTTGATTCTGACTCGTTAAACTTTTTTTAAATGATCAACCATATATTACAGGTGATATCATAACTTTCAAAAAAGACAACCCATTCATGCATCCAACAACCAGGCACGGAATGCTCGGAATTGTTAAACAACCTTTTTATGCTTTGCTATTTTTTGATACTACTTTATTTTTATTGTTCTTATAAACGAAAAAAAAAAAATTTACCTTTTTGATAAAATTAAAAAATTTGCCTTTTTTATTTGGAGAATTTCAAAGTGGGAGACGACAGCATAATAAAGATAGAAGGCAATAGTATGCAAAGATTTAGACGCTTTCAACTCGATTCGGAAACTGGCCGTTTTTATGACAACAGAAAAAAAAACTCTACTGTGCTAGGAGATTATTGAAATGCATTTTATTGCTTCCGCATACCTCAAAAGCTCTCTCCACTAAGCACAGAGTATCTTTTTTTTTTTTCCTTTTGGCTCAAATATATTATTAGTTCAACCAAGAAATCCTTCAAGGTGAAAATGATCAAAAAGTATTTTTTTTTTTCATTTTTTTTTCTTTTAAATAACGAGAGAACCAAGGTCTCGTTTTTTTTTGACGCTTAATTTTTTTATTTTTAAAAAAATACCCTAATTTTATGTAGTTTGGTTATTCTGTTGAAATTAGCCAGTTTATATATAAATATAATATATTCGGAACCATGCGGATAACGCGAAAAATTTTCTTTATCGTTGGCTGAGCAACAAGAAAATAGAATCATAATGAAAAAAAAAGCGATTAATTCATTTAACAAATTTATAACGATGTATAAGTTATGTCATTGCACATCGCACCCATAATATTTCTAAAATGTACTTCTATTTACTGATAAGAAACCCGATAGGTTAACAGCAAACATCATTGGCATTTCCATTATGGCGTATTCTTTCCTTTTCGGATCATATAACAGGTAAAAATGCTGAAATTTGTAATCGACTTAACATTTTAAGTAGTTGTTAACTTTTTTCCTTTATTTTAAAAAAAACAAAAGATTCGGGGCTTTTCTGTTTTATGCGGATGATAAATAAAATTTCGTCATTGATTCCTTATGTGAATATTAAAATAACATCTAAAATCACGCGACCACGTGTCATATGTGGTGTATCCAACAATGTCATTGTTTGTATTACGTTATACTTCAAAGCCCGTAAATTTCAAACCATACCAAGATACTGAACTGTGTATATATATCATTTTTAGAAATTTTAGATATCATTAAATTATTTTTTGGAATGTTCTTAATATAATGGAACTTGAGATTTTCTTGTGTGATGTAAGTTAAATCCTTTATTGGTCTTTTTTTATTTATTTATTTAAAACAATAATAAAGATAATAAATAAATAAAATAATAATGATAACAATAATAATAATAACAATAATAAATAAAAGATAAGATCCTGTTATAATCCTGATAAGGAGATCTCAAACCCTTTTTTTTACATGAATACATACTTATTTACATTTTTATCATTGATATACAATCTGATAAACTCGTGTAAATACAAATTTGTTATACCATTGCATCATTCTTAATTCGATTAAAAAAAATTATCACAGATTTAAATCGTAGAATAGATTGGTGAAACGGCAACAATAAGGTTCGGTATCTATTGTAATTCTTACTTATCACATAAAAAAAATTTTATTTTAAATACATTCGCGATAATAGCTCGTTTTTTTTAAAAGAAAAAAATTTACGAATTTAGTACACATTTATGTCCGTAGATCTTTGATTATATAAAATCGTCGATCTCTATGTCATTACTTATTTAGTTAAGATATCCAA